AAATCAATTTTAACAATGTCAACAACAATCAAATAAAATCTTTAATTGGTCAGTTTATTTTTGCTGTCAACAAGAACTGTACTAGTACTTTTATTCAACTGGTGAGCCAACGCTATACAGTTCTTTATTGGCTATTCGATTCGGTCACATGGTTGCAATCCGGATCGAATTTAAAATCACGTGTAACTACACGGCTTTAACGGACCCCCAAATTAAGTATGTGATAGGGGCAGTGACACGAATCCTACACTAAATCGCATAACACAAATACTCCAAGAAGTTACGTATGGAAAGTCATGCGCATAAGTACATGTAATTCTCGTAATACCACACGTTTATCATAACAGTGACACGATACGTACATAAATGAATGGCAAATGGGTCACCTCATGATAACGATAATATACGTGTAAATTACAACCTGCTAAAAAGAGCCACTTTTATCTCCGATCAAACTAAAAACCGATATATAAGCATCGATTATTCGCTTGTATTTTTTTTTAAATACTAAATTTTTGCAGTATCAAGCAACAAAATCAAAGACCGCGTAAAATCTATCAAACTCAAAAATCTATCATGTCTCAAACTATCAAAATACGACCAGCAGGAAATCCTATTCATGACACTAACGAAGAATATCTTTCGAAAAATTCTGGAAATGACATCTTATTCACGCTGCCGAATGGATTAACAAACGCACTACAGACATGGACACTAGTTCCACACCAACATCCATTATTCGTCGGTGGGTATTGGATTTTGTTAAATGGACAGAAAAATGTCGCGCTCGGATACAACTGTAAGAAGAATAAGGTAACTGTTTCACAGTTAATCCGAGGGAGTCCATGGTTTGTATGGCGAATTGAATCTCGCAGGTCTTACGACAATAGCTTTGAAACCGAATATAAAATTAGTCCGTTTTTGAATCCTTCTCTTGGATTAACACATAAGGGTGCATCGCAACCTGTTTGTGTTGAACCGGTCTATGAAGGAATGGAGGGTTCATTTGGTCAGAAGTGGCTTTTGGTTCTCCCTAGGGAAATGAGTAAATTGTAAAAAAATCATTTTTAACTTGATTATTTTGTACAATCAGTGTATTTATTATCATTTTATGTTCCGTTATGGTGATAATAAATTCATTTAAATATTTATACAATATATAACCTTCAAAATTTGAAAAAGAATTTCTTCAAATATAGCTTATTTTCGGAGTACCTGTAATATCAAAAAATCACAAACATGAATTCATCGCCTGGTTTTCTTGATGGCATATCGTTGATATCATCGATTACTATTTATTCATAATATCTTATACTGTTATTATGATGCTTTCCTGACGCTAAGATCTTAAATACTAGAAAGTGTACATTTGCAACCTCTATCTCTAAAATCAGATTGATAATTTCAGCGATATGTTGTGCCATGAAAGTTACAGTATGCAGTTCAAGCAGTGTTGTGCTGGGTCCTGCTATAAGTCCAGTAATTTTTGGTTCAACTGTACTTATAAATTTTATGTCTAATAGTTCAGTGACGCAGTTTTTTATAAGTCCAGTTGGTTCAATTACCTAACACTGAGTTCAAGTGAAGGTCATATATGATAAAGTTGCGTTGCCTGTTGGATTGTTCCAACCAAGAATTTATGATCAAAAATGAAAATGAAAAAATTTATTTATGATTGCAAATAGTCTTCTTGGCTTAATTATCGACAGCAACGCATACCAATTCTTTCGAAAATTCGGCCTAACAACGTTTGACGACCTGGAAGGCCAAGTATCTACAAAAGATTAAAAAAAAGAATGCAAAAGGAATAATAAATGCCTTTAACATAGAGTATTTTTCTGGATCTTAATTCATATATTCGTTTGAAGTGATTTTATAAGGTTGATTACCTTTGAATTGAACTTTTAGGTGGTCATTAGTTATAAACCATTGCGATTAACCATTTTTAGCAAATATTATTAGAAACATTGCCTTCGCAAAATGTACTCACATTATCATAAGGCTTACAGATTGTTCCGGAATGACCATGTCCATATGGTCCACCAATGATATAGCCTTTCCATTTACGTATGGAATTGATGGTGAATGAATTTTCGATGTGTAGAACTATCAGGAAATGTCTGTTGCAGTCCGAATAATCCCATAAACATGTCGGGAATACGTAAGGAATAAAAAAGCTTTTACTGATAGTTCCCCACGTATACGTACTATATCCCTAATAATTCCCTACGTGAATTTCATACCAACTCCAGTGAATTCCATACATTGATTTTTTATAGGGCTTTGCACAAGCAGAAACGCGTGAAAGCGGCACGAACGAACAATTTTTTCTGATGAGACAGCTTTTCAATCATTTAGGAGCATTGGAACAATAGTCCACAACCAGTTCGTCTCAACCCAAAATCGATTCTCAAGTAGATCTGTTATTTCGTTCATGTGTAATTAAGTTTCCCACATCTGAAAATAGCGATAGACATTCAGATGGAATTGATGTGGCAGGAATTGTCAAATACATGTATTTGCGTGCAAGTTCTGAAAGAATCGGATATAGAGATAGGAATCGATTTTCAACCCAAAATCGATTCTCGAGCACAAAGTACGACAATGATGACGATGACGACGACGACGACAGCAATAACGACGATGACGGCGATGTCATAACTGGTCTTTGGTTTTGTTTTTCATTGCATGTTGATTTTTTCCCTTTTCGTTGGAATACATGTAGTTGAAGTTGTATTTTGATTAGTTGAATTCGTTGAGATACTACGTAGTATAGATGCAATTGAAGTATTGTCATCAGATTGAGATTCCGATCAATATCAGTACTTTTGGCATTAGTATGGTGCATGCCATCTAAAGTCATCAAATGTTTGAATTTATATTGTTTACAATAGGATCCAGATCGATCTGGGACCTATATGTATCGGTTAGTGATCCTAGCTGACTTAAATGCGCCGGCGCAGAGCCGACTCGCTGAGTCAGCCGACCTGAATTTTTTAATGCGGCGCATGTCGATCTTAAAAAATTTCTAAATTTAGTAAATGGTTCAAAATCACGTTATACCATATTATATGTATGTAGATATTACTAGTTTACGCGTTTTCACGTTTTTATGATCTTTTCTCGCGTTTTTTTCTCATTATTGAAAATGAATCAAAAATCTAGAACTGCCTTTATTAATTATAATGGCAAAACAGCACAATGGATATGACAACCAACTAGCAACACCATTCTTACAGAACCACAGCAACTAATCGACAAAATTACTCCTCCAGATTTAAATTTATCTTGCTCATCTGCTTTTAATGATCAAGCGACCAGTTCATCAAGCAATCAAGCAACTAGTTCATTAAGCAATCAAGCATCCAGTTCAAACAATCAAGCATCCAGTTCAAACCATCGAGCGACCAGTTCATCAAGAAATCAAGCAATCAGTTCATTAAGCAATCAAGCATCTAATTCAAACAATCAAGCATCCAGTTCAAGCAATCAAGCATTAAGTATTCCTGCAAAAAGAAACAATCCATTCACAAATAAAGTAAATAAAGAAAGTTGGATATAATTATATTTTAAGGAGAACAAAGTTATGAAAAAAATGATTTGTCAATTATTTATTAAAAATCCGCAAAACAGTAAAGATATTTCTTGTTCAACTACTTATAGACTTATTACTTCAACAACAAATTTGACAAATCATCTAAGAATAATACATCAAATATATCCTTCTATTAGCTCAGTAATTATAAATAATCCAAAACAAAAAACAATCAAGCAAATGTTTGAATCTACAAATCCCTTATCACATTCCAAACAAGAAAAAATACTCTTCTGACTTATTGTCTGAATTGTTGATGACATGCAACCATTTAATGTAATTGAAAATAAAAAGTTTCAAGAATTAATTCATGAGTGTGAGCTTCATTTTGAATTTCCAAGTGATAGTATAATTAAAAACAAGATTGGTCAATCAATATTCTATACTATAACACAACTAAATAGATTAATATATAAAACAATGACAAACTTCTCATTCACTATTAATTTATGGACAGCACATCATATTTCATATATTGGAGTAACAATTCACTGACTCACTGCAGATTTTATATCATATCAAGCTCTCTTAACAATCAAAAAGCTTTCATATCCTTACATATCAAAGATACTCTCTGAAATTTATTTGATCAATGAAATATATATCAAAAACTTTTTATGAGTATAATAGATAATGCTTCTTCAATGAAGAAAGCAATGCATTAACTTGGATGTAATTATATAAGATATACAGCACATACTATTCAACTCATAATTAATGATGAACTCGCACTAGTAAAATATATATTGGTAAAAAAAGCAAAAAACTTGAATAATTTTCTTGTGAATTGTGACAAATATTGTGACAAATTCAAATAAATATTATAGATTGAATAAACAATCAAAATTATCTAACTTCACAATACAAATTTCTTGCTTTTATTGATAATAATACTAAAACTTGTTAAAATTCAACATTTATTCTATTGGAACAACTTTTACTTCTTCATGATGCAATTGATGAACTTGAGATTCAATTATTACGCAATCTAGATCGTTGAGCATAAGCAGATGATAGAGTTGATGCTATCAAGAAATGAATGAAAATGTCTAAATGAGTTAGTAATTCTACTTAAGTCTTTTGCTGTTGCAACTATATTAATAGATAGAAGCAAATATCCAACACTTTTGCAAATATTTTTCATTCTTTACAAGTTTTCTCATCACTTAATTATAATGAATTCAACACTTACCTGTCTAGAAATTATTACAGTTTCAGATAAAATTTATGAATCATTGATGAGAAGATGGAAGAATTCAAAAATTCATGATTTTGTTGCATCATTTTTAGATCCAAGATTTAAGAATATGTTATTAGAAAGAAATTAAAAGAATAAATTATAGAAAGTCTAGAAATGCATCAGAATTATAATACTTTGATTCAAGTTTCTTACTTGCAAGATCAATCTCTTATATCACTATTTTATGATGATTATAATACAATATCAATTCTCACTGAGATATTTATTGAGTTGGAGTTTCACATTTATCAAAGCATGCCAGCACTTTCAAAATATAAAATAACTCACCTATTATATGCAATAAATAATTCTTATAAGTAATGGAATGATCACAAAGCAATGTTATCCTTGCTTGCAAAGCAAGCAAAAATTTATCTTGCAATTTCAGTCTCTTTGACTGAGTGTCTTTTCAGTAATGTTAGTAATATATTAACTAATAAGAGAAATTATCTTGATTTTATAAATGTACATGATTTTTTTCTTAAAAAAAACTCAGCTTTCATGTTAGTTTTTTCTAAATTATCTAATCAATAAGAAATTAAAATAATATAATAATATAATATAATTTTGTAAGTATAAAAATAAATAAATAAAAGAGATTTCTAAATAAGAAAATTAACATAACTTTAGCCAGCTAGCTGAAACAAGAAATTCTGACTTAGTTACATTAGTATTTTAATACCAACTAGAATTACTACTACTAGTTCTTCTTCAATAATTATAAGTTAATCTTCAGTTATCTCAATATTACTAACTATCTCAGAATAATAACCATCAGATATATTAGAATTTTTTTTAAATTCTAGATTGTAAAAGTCTTCAAGTATTTTTTTAATTAGTAATAGTTAGTGATTAAGTGTGTATTTGTTCTGGTAAATTAAGATATTTAATAATTAGATTACTCATTTTATAATTTTTCAGTTTTAATAGTATTAAGATTTGCTTTATACCTTTAAATAGTTGTTCAGTAATAAAGAATCCAGATATTGCATTTCATTTTTGAATTCAAATAAGAAAATTAGCTAAAGATTTAGTTATTGTATCAATGGGTGGAAAACAAATATAACAAAAGTATTATTAAGAAATTAGAAGTAGTATTTCTTGATATTGAATTTCCAAGTGAGTATTAAAATGTGAGCTAATAGATTCTTCAATAAAAATATAATAATTATTTATAAAGAGGATTAAAATATCAAAAGAAGAGTATCTTTGAAAATTTCACAGAGGATATCAAAATGTTACATATTTCTCACTAATTGAATAAATACAAATAAAAGTTAGGAGAAATAATTAAATAAATATAAGAATAATATAAAAATAATATTTAAGTTTTATGTCAATTTCTACTGAAATTGTTATAGTTTGAAAGAAAAAAAGAATAAGATAATAGTGTTTCAATTAGATAAGATGTTCTGAATAATCATACTAACTAATTAATTTACAAATTATTTAATTGAAGTAACTAACAAACTAATTAAAATATCAAAAGCAACAAAGTTTCTTTTACTTTGTTTTTCTCACAAAAAAAAGATTATGATATTTTTAGTTAAAAAATTTCAAATAATTTAATTATAACAAAAATATCAAAAGATTAGTCTATAACAAAATATTAATTCAATAATTAAATATCAACATTTTGATCAGCTCAATACAGTCTCAAAGCTACTTGTTTGCAAGATATAAAGTGTACAGTTAAGAGAGAGAGGCAAATTGTTTTAGTATTAAAAGATATTTATTATGTTATTTATTCTCAAGTTCTAACATGTTGAATTAGAACTCAACTACAATTCATATTATATATTTTTCATATAATATTAAAAACAAGAAAATAATATAAAAGATAATTATACTAACTAAAAAGAATATTTCAATTTACTAAATATGAAAAGTAAAAAAATAAAGGAGAAAAAGTATAAATCTCAAAGAGTTTTGATTGGTTAAGCTATATCTATTTGAAATAAATAAGTATAAAAAGTATATAAATATAAATATATAAAAATATAAAAAGTATAAATATAAAAGTATAAAAAGTATAAATATAAAAGTATAAAAAATATAAAAAATATAAGAATATAAAGTAGAAAAATAAAAATATACAAATATAATAATTATTAATATATACATTTCTATATTATATTACTAAAAATTGAAAAAAATAGTAAAATTAACATTGTTTCTTTATATTAAAATTTATTATTTTATTAATAAATATTTTTTATTTAGTATAAAAATAAAAAATATTTATTAATAAAATAATAAATTTTAATATAAAGAAACAATGTCAATTTTACTGTTTTATTATATTTTTTTTCAATTTCTAATAATATAGTATAGGGATATATATGATAAATTGTGAAATGTTCTAAGTTCTTTACATGATTTTCATAATTTTATAAAATATTACAAATTATGAAATTAATAATTTTTATAATATAATTGTAACATTACAATCAAATATTTTATTTATATCAATAACTAATTATAATATACTTAAAGATTTATTCAACAAATTAAAATCTCTAATAAATTGATAGATAAATTTTAACTCTGAATAAATATAATTTTAAAGTAAAAGATTATATTCAAATATAGATTCATTATTTAATTAAATATTTTTAATTTATTAATTACTTGAATACTTTAAACCTACCAGAAAAATTACTAATAAAAAATCAGCAAAAGCTTAAAAATAAAGCAAAACATTATTTAATTAAAAGTAGTTAGATCAATTTATGTGATTGATCTGATCAGAAAAAAAGATGATCCATTATTTATACCTGTTGATTAGGATATCCCTTTAAAATTGGATGGTTAGGATAGGAATCAAGGATGCACAAAGACATAGATTTATTTTTTGTATATGCGAAAGTTAGAGTGAATATTACGCAAGAGAATTTCAATTAGGATACAATGTTAAACTTTAAACATTTGTATACGATATGTATTTTTTTATTGACAAAGTCTATAGATATATATTTTGTTTAAAGATAAAACTGTAATAAAAGATTGGGTAGCAGGTTTTGAACCAGTAGTAAGATAACTAGTTAAAAAAAAGGTTATAAGATTCATGAAAGTTTTTTAGGTTACAAATTCGATTTTTCTATAACAATAATATTTCAATTCTTATAGATCTTAACATCAATAAAAGGTGTTCCAGAGGATCCCATCGATCCCTCATAACGCCAACCAAAATCCAAGTCTTTTTTGTAAGTTTTACTGTCTCCTTTATTGGGTGAGCCATCGAGCATTTTTTTGTATAAATCTAGATCAATATCACAAGATAAATATATGTCTAAGATTTAGAAGCAAAACAGAATTACTCTTATTAGCATCAATAAAACCATCATAAACTTGAATTTTCCACAAATTATCGTAGATGTTGTAGTCAAATGGGACACTCCACATAAAGGCTAAAGATTGTTTTTGATTTCTGATATGGTATACAAAAACTCCTACAGTTCCCGTAGCTACGGGACCAGCAGTCTTACGAGCACCCCAAACCAAACCTTCATCTTTTAAGACTGGACCGGGGAGCCCCAAATCAGATGTTCCAGAATCAAAGTATACATTATGTTGATCAAGAATTTGTGCTGAATAATTTTTAATAGTAATGGCGGTTTTTCTATTAACACTACCTAGACCCTGTATGCAAAAACCCTCAATATATGATTATATATCTGATTACAAAACATAAAGAAATTAATTTATACCTTTAAGATTTCACCAAGCACGGATTCAGTAATTGAGACAATTGCAAGAGTTGCTGCCATAATTGAGATGAAAGTGATGATGATAAATAATAAAAAGAGTCCTTTTATAAGTTTTAATTTGGTGAATTTAAAATACAGTGAATTGAGAAAATTGTACGACGAAAATCAGTGGTATGCAAAAATGCTAAATGAATTCTTGAGAAAAGACACGTATAAATGTTGTGTGACTCTCTGTACAAGTCTAAAAAATAATCTATAATCGAAAAATAATTTATTTATAATCACGCTTCTACTATTATATTTTTATTTAGACATAAAAGGACGGACTGAAGAACCGATTTTTCAGAATACGCTTTCTTTCAGTAAATCTTGGAAGTAGATATTGGGATTGTCCTCTAATAAAATTGGTTAGTATTGTTCTTGATCAGGGATTCTTTGGCTTAGCATTGAATAACTCCATCTGTAAGTCCACACAAATGAGCTTTTCTGGATATCAATAGAGAAAAAGGTGATTTATAAATGAGAAAATTCACATTTGCTTTCTTGAATCTCTTTTTTGAGCGAACAGAACTTGGATCTCTCCATTTGGAATGATGGTTGCATCAAATGTAACTTATAAACACTTGAAAAAAAATCTCTATATACGTATCTATTTTTGGAGTCATTAGATATGCGAATCATTGTACGTATCACATGACTACATGACATATTTACAATGACGAAAATACTTCGAACTGATATAAATTTCAGCAGACAATGTAATAAAGACCAAATTGTTTGTATCTCAAATTTTACTGATTTGTTTTTTTATCTTCTCACATATGTTCATGCATTGAATACAGATTTTTAAAACAAGTTTTTTATAGGCGTTTAAGTTCTCAAGCACAAGAAATCGCCACGAAAAAGTTATTTATACTCGCTCCCGCAATTTCTTAAAAATGCATGCGCTTTCCCGCTGCATAATCAATATATACATTATTTCAATTATAAAGAATCTTATCAGAGATTTCTATTTTCCTTTATTTCAAAACTTTTTTTGTCTTTGATACTTCTTATAGGCTATCTGTCCTCTTCTATAAATATAATCTGAAAATTATGTAAACTATGAGAATTACTCAATATCGATTGAGCTTTGTATTT